GGGCAATTTTAAGACAAAACACCTATCTTTGGGGACAACTGGTGCATTTGGGGACAAAAGTCGAGTCCCCATTTAATTTAAATACCATTGGTGGGTTGGGTTTAGGACCAAGGTGTGAACTGAGTTTAGGTTAGTTTTAGGGTCAGGTAGGTACCTGTGAGGTTAGCCTTAGGGTTTGTGGTCAGGGTTAGGCTGTAGAAATGTAATAGAAGTCAATGGAATGTCCCCAAATGGATAGCTGTGCAAACCTGTGTGTGTCTAACCTGTGTTGGAGCTGGAAGCCAGGCGGCACTGATAAAAAGCCTGCAGGAGGAGCCATCCCACTCTGTGGCTCGACCAACCACGGACCACCCCAGCTATGACATCATTGAGACTGAGGAGGGGGACTCTGCCCTGGGAGGTCAGATAGGCCAGAACAAAGCAGGTCTTCTCCATGTTCACCTGGATGATCCACCACAAAGTTAAAAYAACACCTGTCAAATGGCTTTTATTTGTATTATTTCACTTCAGTTTATGCAGGAACAAGCAGATAAATATGCAGCAACATATTTCTCAGCTGTTTCAGGACACTGTACCTCAGAAACCCGAGTGATCCTGTCGATCTCAGTATCAGACAGCTCAGACACACACCTGGTGACGCCCTCATATAACTCCACCTCATTATCCTGCAATAAACACACTCAGAGTCAGTACAGCTCTAACCAACACCTGCACACAACTAAATCAGCTAAAAGCATCCTTCACTCAAATTCATGTTTACCACTCTTTGAAAAATAAACACATTGTAAATATGAAGTATTTTTTTCCTAAGAGGCCGAGCAGCATGACAAGAACTCAGTGAAGCTGCAGCTTCAGGAACATTTTCTGGCTGACAGATTGTTGTTATCTTTAATTTATTAACTTTCCTGTTCTCTTTATTAACATTTCAAGTTGCAAAGTCAGCATTACAAAACTGTTTGATTATCTTTCCTGTTCAGGTCCGGTCTGTCTGCTCCGAGCTGATAATTTAGCTTTCAATTTTAGTCTCACTAATGGTTTTTTAAACAAAGTATTTCCACTGTTGGACGCAGCAGGGTTAGCTGCAGATAAATGAGCTAAAACCAGCAGAACGTGTCCAGCAGGCAGAATATCTGACACCTGAATCAGACTTTTATCTGAGCTGCTGCTTTAATAAATGGAATAAATCCATTGATGAACACAAAGAGCTGGCCTGTTCCACCTCAGAGTTGTTAATGAGTGAGAATAAATTACAATACATAGTAAACAAGTAATTATATTTTATTTAGAGGAACTATTTTGTGTGATGATTACATGGTTTAAGGTAGAGCTTTGTCCCACCTGCTCTTATGGACCGGTCTTGTTGGTTCCCCTAACACAGGGAGGGGTAATCTYAGTTACATAAGTGGGACAAAATTCAAAACTTGGTCCAAGCCAAGGGCCAATTTCTTTCAATATTTATTGAAAACATGTTACATAACAAATTATTCTTATAGAAATACAAATTACCTTTTCCAAATTATGTTTTTGTAGAATTGAGGTTGTACATAGAAAAATATTTTATTTAGAAAAAAGTATCTGCCTTAAAATTTCTTAGATATCAGTTTTATTGCAATCCAGCAAATTAGTTAAAAAAGAAAAGCCTTACTAAAAYTCCAATAATTTGACTTTAAAACTAGATACCACATAGGCAAGGCCGGATTAACCATATGGGCAATTGGGCAATTGCCCAGGGGCCCACGGTCTCTAAAGGGCCCTGGGCAGTGAAGGCACGGACATAATGGATGGGGGATATGCGTGAGACATGTCTCCCTGAGTCCCCGCACTTCCTGCATCTGTGCTCTATGTCCGGTTATGTCCCCGCACTTTTCTCAGCCGTAACAGCTGTTTTATCCATTATTAACATATGGTGATGCGTTTTCCTGAGCCGTCTTTGAACGCACCATAAGCGTGCGCGAGCTGGTCCTGCAGATGACGGATAGGAGACTTCTTCTGACCACCTGTCTTCTGAGCAGAGCCTCGCGGTGTAAAGAGCAACTAAAACTTCCCACAGTTTTAACCAAACAAACCATGTAAG